CTTTTGTGCACAGGCGGGAGTTTTTTACAACAAAGACGACATACGAAACGTACTCCATATGGTGAGGAAGTATCAGGGGGATCTCAAGACGAAAAAGAGCATTATAAACGTTCAAAATGGAATCATACAGAACGTCGTGGAGCGCAAGTGAGGATGAGATGGAATGGGGGCCTTCCGATGGGGGCCTGCAGATGGGGCATTCTTGACGAAGGCGAACTCAAAGGAGAAGTATCATCCTCATGTGATTATTCTCCATGCAGAGCGCGTCAAGGCATGCATACCCACTTTATATGTTCCACTCCGTTGAAATATATTTTCCCCTCGATGTCCACAGTAAATTAAGCAGAAATAAGCTTATGGCTGATAAAAAAAAAAACGAGGAGCTCATGAAGATGTGCCGTACCTACTACGAGCAGAAGTGAGGACAAAGACAAATGGGGAGGGATCCGAAAAGGCAACAAGCGGACTCTCTGCCCACGTTTATGCTCTCCCCACCATGGATTCATCTATCCACTGGTCACTCCATCGATCCATTCACCCAATGACCCCCCTTTCTACGCAGCAAAAGCGCGCAGATCAGACTCAGAAAGCTGAAGAACACCTTCCTCGAGTATAAGATAGCCTTGGAGAGCATCGTATCCTGCTGCGAGAAAATTGGCGTAATGAAGCAACACTGTGGGGGAGCGGCCGAACGGCGGAACCGGAGCGAAGCTGTGAAAAAGCTCAGAAATAGCGATGAATCTGTCATCTGCTGCCCGGGGGTCCCCTTCAACCCCATATCACCAGTGCAACCCCTACCCACTTTACACCATTGCAGGGAGACAAAATAATTCTGATGGACGTCGTGAAGTCAGCCAGGGCGCAAACGGACCTGTCTATAGCGACCGATATATTGAACACGTAATGGGATAAAAAAGACGTTCGTTTGCTCCTCATAGAGGGGAGCTACCAAGCGGGGTACTACACAGCGTAGTTCATCACGTTGCACATCACGTCGCACATCACGTCGCGCCTTGCCCCTCCCCACTCGCAGGAAAAAAATCCAGGAGCTGGAGATGAACATCTGCTACTGCGACCATCAAATCAACGTAGGCCGCTTACATTCCCATGGGCCCCTCCCACACAGCTCAGACTAATCGGGGAGTGAAGTCATTCCGTTTGCACCCGTGTGTGTGTGTGTGGGGGGGGGCAGGGTGAGAGGTTCGTGTCTATGTGTGTACATATGTACACTTGTAACACCCTCATGTGTGTATTCTTTTCTCCGCCTAAAGAGCCTGAAAGACGATTTGGACGCCATGCTAGGGAAGTTACAAAATGAAAAGAAAGAGAAACGGGAAGTGATGAACCAGACCCTGCAATATAAGGAGCGCCTGGAGAAGAACAACGCCATGCTCATAGAGGTAACGTAGTAGCAGGAATTTTTTTTTTTTTTTTTTTTTATTTTACGAAACAGACGTAGGGATACATACTATCTGAAGTGTAGGGATGCTTGTCCCATTGGTCCTTCTGCTTGTGTTCATAGCTTCTAATCGGCGAACTCCTTTACAATCCTCTTAATAGGCACTAGAAAACTTCCGTCGCGTGATGACCAGTGTGGATGAGCATCTCTCCAGGGAGGGCGACACAAGTGACTTCAAGAAGACCTTTGACAAGAGCAAGAAAAAGGTTCGCGCGTAGGAGGAGGCGCGTGGCAGCGTAATGCACGCGAGCTTTTCCCATTTTTGGGGGGGGCGGGCTTCCTTTTGGGGCCATAACCAATCGGTTCCACCGTCCGTATGAGCGTCTAGAATTTGATCTGTCTCGCGTCATCGTTTCCATCCGTTTGGATACGTCTGGATACGTTCGCTCCATTTCGATACATCCCTTTTGCGTTATTATATTTTTCCCTCAACTCGCCGCTCCCCAGTACAATGACTTCGTGCGGAAGGTTGCGGAGAAGAACAAGGACCTCCAAAAAATGGGAGACAAGCTTATCTTGGCCAGTGCCTTGAGCGGACGCCAACTGAAAAGACACCAAGAGTACCTTAACAGGAAAATAAATGAAATTAGAAAAAGCGAGGGTGGACCACAAGAAGAAGAACAGAAGGGGCACAAGAATCGGGGCAAAGTTGGGGAAACAGAAAAAAGGGGCCTCCACGAGGAAGAGCAAGACAAGGAGACCCTGGAAGGGGAATCCTCTCAGGGGGCGAAAGAGATAGCCAATGACATAGAAAAAAAACAAGACAAGCACAAAGGCGAACAACCAACTCAAGTGGATGAAAGTCTCGAAGGGAGAAAAATAAATCAAGTGATGGAAATCCTGAAAAGAAAAGAAGTAAAGGATGAGGAGAAAAATAACATGTTGATGTGAGTCATCTGGCATCAGGCAGAACAAAGAAAAAAAAAAAAAAAAAAAAAAACGCAGCTCCTAACTTCTCCTTCTTGTGTGCAGATCGACCACTTAACATTTGAGGATTGCGTGGATGTCATATACAAGGCGGTAAGAGGAAATGGCGCCGGCTGGACGTAGTCACTTGGAAGGGTGATGATCATCCACATTGACCTGCTCAAGGAGTAGTGTCCATTTTTATGAGCCGGTTTGATTCTCCACCCACCGTTCCTCGCAAAAGCACCCCTTCCCGGTGATGAGTTTCTCCTCTGTTCCAATTCCTCCGCTTTTTCTGTCCGCTCTTCGAATCCCTCCGCCTTTTCTGTGCCCTCTTCCACTTTACACATTCCTCCCCCCCCCTTTGCCACTAGAATCTCCCTCTGACGCAGAGCAAGCTGAATGAGCTGAAGGCAATGGGCGAAGTACACAAAGACGACCTGGTTGCCTTCATTAAAACTTTTCTAATAGACGAGGATGAAGCCTTACAGAATATGATAACCTTCTTTGAAATTTGGGACGTCCAGGTGGGTGTCCTCCGTGGTGTATGCGAATCGGTGGAGAGGGAGAGACAAACGGGGACAGCATCTACTACGCGTCGCCCCTCTATACCATCGTCTCACATTTCGCAAAAAAGAAGAAAAGAAAAAGAAAGAAAAGAGAAAGATAGAGAGAGAAAAGTACCAAATTTGGGTGCACACTGGCATGTTAATGCGTTCACGCGTTCGTTTCCTCTGTGTCTCTTCCAACTCAACATCTTTTCTCCCCCCTCGGAAACCAAAACAGAAAACGGGTTACATGCACAAGGATCTGATTTTGCTAATATTGAAGCAGTTCGGGGACAGCTTCACGGAAGACGAAATGGAATATCTGCGGGGGTAAGTGCGCATGGGGGAAAAAAAAAAGAAAAAAAAAAGAAAAGAAAAAAGAAAAAAAAAAAGAGAAGAACAAAAGGGGAAAAAAAAAAAGGGAAGAAAAAAACAGCACGGCGAGTAGGACAAGGGGGCTACTCACCTAAGGCGACTCCACACACAAGACGTAAATGCATTCCCTATTTACGCTCGTGCAAATGCTAAATGAATTTTTTTTTTTTTTCTTTTTTGAAGAGAGGTAAACGCCTTCAGGGAATCTAACATCTCGTACGTTGATCTACTCAAAAGGTACGGCGCGAAACAGAAAAAAAAACCCAAAAAAAAAAGAAAAAAAAACAGACGGTTAGCGGCTTATACACAGGGGCGCAAATAAAATTGCAGTGCATGGCGGCCCCTCGATTTATGTCTCTGCTCCGTGTATCGAGTGTAACGCTTTCAGCTCGGTATTCACTTGCCTGCACTTTCTCTTTCCCCACGACGTACCATTTAACAGATGGATCCAAGGAACAGAGGAGTAGCACCAGAGGATAGCATACCTCTTCCAACTGCGGGACGTCACCACTGCAGGATGTCCCATTCAAGCGAACACCTTCCGGTGTTCTTTCCTACATGCACAATGACATAGCCAGAAAGATGTTGACAGGGAGTGTATCACGGAGGAGTCAGTTCCACAGGGATGGCCCCTAACGAAGCGGTGTACATTTCGCGTTTCTCCCCCTCCGTCGTTTTTTCCCTTCTGTCGTGTCTCTTTATGAGGTGTCATCAATTCGCTTAGCTGCACCCATCGTCCACTGTATACCTTTTTTTGGTCAATCACCGGGAGGATCTTGGAGATGGAAGTTGCACGGGAAAAGCAGAGCCCCTGTTTTGTGCAAGCCATCTCCATTTTTTCTCCACTTCTGGTGTTAACATTATTTCGTTTCATTTTGGGGAGCCCACTGAAGTGGCCATTCCATCCACGCAGTTGCAATATTTTTTTTTGTGTTTTTTTTCTCTTTTTTTTGTCTCCATTTTTAACGTCGTGAGGAGCGATAAGTAGAACTTCTAAGTTATTCACGCGTGGTGAAGAGGGACAAAACGGGAAATCCCTCCTTCTCCTTGCCCACCCCCTCCTCGCCGCTGGGATGGACAAAGCAGATCTAACTGAGGCATTAAATGAGGCAGGGTGACTGTCCCGTTGGAGAACGGATAAGGAAAAAGGCTCGCCCCAATCGATCCGATAACGAGGTAGAAAAAGTGGGGGGGCAACATAATCTCCAGATGGATACTGTGCCCACTCGTTGTGCCTTATGTATGTATGTGCTGATGTGTTAATGTGTGGCTGTGATTATGTGCATTTTTGTATGCCCCTCTGCCTGCATGCAAGTTTGCTTGCCCCACGTGTGCATCCTTTTGTGTTTCCTGACCGTTGGCGCACGTGAAAAAGAACAGGGCCAACGGGCAGCCTTCCATCTCCGGAAATGATGAAGAGAACGAGAAACAGCAGATCTTTGTATAGTTAAAAAAAAAAAAATCCTCGCGATGTAGCTAATGGGCTTCTTAACATATTGCCCGTTCCGGAGTGGGCTTAAGCGAATTGGTGCCCTCCATGCATGGAGAGAAAGAAGCTCCTCCTGCAGAGGGTCGTTTTAACCCTCCCCCTTTGGAACAACCAATTTTGAGGAAAAACAAAACAAGGCATATAAAACTTCTTGGTCCAAGTTTTAATGAATTTCTTTTTTTTTTTTTTTTTTGTTTCTTTGGCCATTTTTTAAGTGAACAGAATGGGGGGAAGTAAAAATGACAATTCGCAGGTGAATAAGGGGGGAGCTGGGGGCTCGAGTAAAAGCTCCAAGGCGGGGCGTAGCAAGTCCAAGGGCGCGGCATACAACAAGTCTGCCTCTGCGGGAGTGGCTACTGGGGAGGAGGGCAAGGCGGAAAAGACTGAGGAGACGACGGTTGCCGCGGGGGGTACAGAGAAGGCCACTGCAAGTAGTCCTCCAGGCGCTGCCCTGGGGGGTGCACAGAAGGCATCTGGAAGTAGTCCTGCGGGAGCTGCCTCGGGAGATACCACCATTGCTACTACGACGGTAGGTAGCCCCAGCGGGCGTGCCCCTGCTGGCCCGGCAGATGGCAAGGGGGCCAGCCGGGGGGGCAGCAAGGCGAGCGCGAAAGGGTCCAGCAGCTCCAAGAACAGGGAGAAGGGCTCAGAAAACACGGCGAACACGACGAGCGCGACTAACTCGGCTAACTCCGGTGGCACGGCGCCCCCCAGCGGTAGCAAAGCGGCGAACGCGGGAAGGAGCAAATCGGCAAGTGGAGGAAGCAAAGCGCGGAACACAGGAAAAGCGCTCAGTTCGTTGTCCAAATTCAATGACTCCTACGCCCTCATATTCCCAAACGCACTGCCAGTGAAGCAAGTCATGTGGGGTCTGGACCCCCTCAACAAAGTCTGGAGGTTCTGTTCCATTGTGTACGCCAGGCCAAAAAATAAAAACCTCAATGACCTGAATTTTATCTTCCCCTTAAATTTAACCAAAAATGAAATCATCACTAAATTGTCCACAGAGCTGTCTACTAATACGACTGAAATGAACGAGTGGGATTATGATTACTATGTGCACTGGGAGAAATTCGACAGGCGTCTTGACTGTTGGCTTGCATATAAAAATCTGCGCTGTCTGGATCAAGAGCCAAATGATGGATTGCCGTGTATACGAGAAAAAGACAATGAAGAATCAGATCATGACGACCATGCAGGTATTGATAAAGAGTATCTCCGAGAACATGAAGAGAATACAAAACTGAAAACAATTAATCAGATAAAATTTGGAAAATACCTAATTGATACCTGGTACTTTTCTCCCTACCCGAAGGAGTATCAGAATATAGACATTCTATACATTTGTGAATTTTGTTTATCCTTTTTTAAAGAAAATGAAGAACTACTTCGACATACAGAGAAATGTGAAATTAGACATCCCCCTGGAAATGAAATATATCGATGTGAAAATATATCCATCTTTGAAATCGATGGAACTTATTTCCGCATCTATTGTGAGAATCTGTGTTTTCTCTCGAAACTTTTTCTGGATCATAAAACGTTAAAACATCGAGTCAATTTATTCTTATTCTACGTCATTACTGAGTTTGATCATTTTGGCTACCATATCACTGGATATTTTTCCAAAGAGAAATACTCCAAGAATAACGTGTCTTGTATTTTGACTCTTCCTCAGCATCAGAAGAAAGGTTATGGGAGGTTTCTCATAAATTTCAGTTATTTCCTCTCCCAGACGGAAAAACGCACTGGTACACCTGAGAGACCTTTATCCGACTTGGGGGTAGCGTCTTACATGGCTTACTGGTATGAGACACTCCTCAAGGTGCTGATAAACTACGAGCAGTTATCCATTCAGGAGTTGTCCGAAATTACTAGCATTGAGACCAACGATATTATTTCCTGCCTTGAAGAGAAAGACATTTTTAAGACGTTGGCCAATGGAGGAGAGTCTGTCTACTACATAAACCCGCAGCAGCTGGAATTTGTTCTCGCCAAGGTGGGCAAGAAGAACTACGATTTGTGCCCGACTAAGCTCCACTGGGTCTCCTACGATTATTACTTGGCCATGTAAGAGTAGAGGGGCCTGAGGATGCCTTACGGAGATGCGCAAGTGGTTGTTCGGATCATTGCTTCCATTTGGGTACCTTCGGATCATTGTTCCCATCTGGGTACCTCTGGATGATTGACCCCATTTCTGCCTCTGTGCATCTGTACATCTGTACATATTTGCATCCTTGCCCTGGTGGGCGCACCTTACCTGGCTTGCCAGCTTTTTTTTTTTTTTTTGTTCAGCACAGTTCTCCGCGCATCCGATCGGTTTGTTAAAGTGAAAACGCACACTTAGTGGTGACTTTTTCAACCGGAGTTACAGCGAATTGCAGCGAGTTGCTTCCCCCCCATGTAACACCCCTAACCAATTTGTTGCGCGATCGCCATCCATTTTCCCGCCCCAGTGGGAAGCCCACCCCGCAATGCGACAACACCGCGATAGCGCAATACACGAATGAATTAAAAGGGAAGAGCCCCCGTGGTGGCAAAAACAGTTCGTAGGAAACACAGCGTTGGATAGAGCTAAACAAGTGAACATAGAGACGTTCCGCATTGGGGAGAGAACGCAAATTTGATTAAAAAAAGAAGAAGAGAAAAGATTTTCTAAATGGATTAACTATGTAGCAAAAACGGCAATGGAAGGACTTCACGTACACGCGTCAGTCGCTGTCTGAGTCGGCGTCGCTTTGGTCTACCTGAGCAGCGGTTTGGTCTGCCTCGACTGCAGTTTGGGCTGCCTCGACCTTGGCTTCGTCTGCTTCGCCGTTATGCTCCTCATTCAGGTCTCCATTCTGGTCGCCATTAACATCTCCATTGACATCGCCATTGACATGGCCGTTCTTGTTATCTTCTTGGGCGCCGCCTTCCTCTCCTTCCGCGCCGCCGTCCTCTGCTCCTCCCTGCTTGGTCTTCTTCTTCTTGTTCTTCTTTTTCTTCTTCTTCTTTTTCTTCTTCTTGGCCCCCTGGTCTTCCTCCCCGTCGGGGATGGCGCCGATCTGGCGATTGTAAATCTGTTCCGCCTCGTTCATGTAATCGATATTTTTAGACAGCTTCACCCCCTTGACCATGTGGAGGATCTTATGCTCGAGCTGCTTCTTAAATATGACTCCGTAAGAGTTCGTGGGGTGGTCCGAAAAGGAGTCGATTCTTGCCGCCATGGCACTTTTGCAGGACAGGTACCTGGACATGCGGCCTTTCATGGGGAGAGGCGTCTTGGAAATGTAGGAAGAATTGTAGAGGATGCCAAATTTGGGCGTCTTCTTATTCCCCTTAAGAGAATTGAAGAGGGCCTTCTCCGATCCGAAAATCTGAATACTGCTGGAAGGGCATTTGGCTAAATTGACAAGAGACCCCGCATGGCTAATCAACCGAGCACTTAATGTGTTCCCTAATAGTTCCTTCAAATTCGGCGAAACGATATTCAATTTTTTATCCAGATAGTCCCATAGAACATTCCTAGTGTTAACTAAGTTAATAACCTCATTAGAAAAATTCATGATGTTATTGAGATCCTCCTGTGTGAGCTCTTGTCCAATGGAAAGGTTGGCTACTTTAACAATCTGCTCAGTCATTTGTTCATCTTTCGTAATTTCGGTGATTTTCTCTCTTTCCATCTCATCTTCGAAGTTAAAATTGTCTTTAATTTGGATTAAGTTAACCAATTTGCAGTACATAGACACATCCGTAACGATTTTCTTCAGCTCTGGGAAATGCCAGCTGTACCATTCGATGACTCTCATGCTGAAGAGGTTAATATTTTTGTCCAATGACTCAATCGTACCGATGCCATTAATAATTGATTTGTCTTGTTTCCTTGGGTCTAGCTTCAGCTTCGATCTGGAGTAGCTGTGTCCCAATCCGATATTGAAATGCTTTATATCGATATCACCACTGTTCTCCACATAAGTGCCAATTTTTCTCAGGTAAAACTGTCTGCACGCTCGGAATAGCTCCAAAATGTTGCTATTATGAACTATGTTGAAGCCAATGTTTGAGAGGTGTTTGCCCAAGTTGATATCAGCCACCCCTAACTCGTACTGACTTTTATTACTAGGCAAGTTTTGCTCTAAAAAGGTTAGCAGAAAATCGGTGGCCTTCCCTTCATTAATATGGATCAAATTATCCAGCGCCCTTTCCGCTGTTTCGAAAGATATAAACGAACATAATTGTACTACTTCGTGAAATAGATCGGCCTTTTGAATCTTCTTCTCCAGATTTTCGTTGCTTCCTATCTGCTCCCATTCCTTCACCCTCAGCAGGAAGTATCCCGCGGAGCACTCGAACAGGACAAAAAGCTCCGTCATTTTACTCGGCGATGGGACACGCAGGTCAAAGAACGACGGGGGACCACAAACGACAAATGCATAGGTCGATCTAGAAGTACGTATCCGTATGGGGGGGAGAAAAGTGTTTTTTTTACTTTTACTCCCTCCGTCTTGTAAGTGGGTCGCGTATCCTTTTGCCACAGCAGAGGAGCAACCTCTGTGTTAATGAAGAAAAAGCCGCGTCACGCCAGCTAGGGGATGCAGGCAAAAGGGAGGAAAAAACAAAGCAGGAAAATGCAGTACAAAATGGAGTAAAAAATGCTGCAAAAAAATGCAGTTAAAAAATGCAGTTAAAAAATGGAATAAAAAATGGAGTAAAAAATGGAGTAAAAAATGCGGGAAAAAAATGCAGTTGAAAAATACAGCAAAAATGAGGAAGGAAAAACTCCTACATGCCAGTTTCCCCACTTGGCGACGAAAACGACGACAATTAAACTCCAGCAGTGCAGTTTCAGCTTCAGCTGCAACTTCAGCTTCCCCCTCCTGTGCGAAGAAACATTTGGTCCGGCAGGTCGACCAGGTCGACACTTCTCCTCCCCTGAGTGACGACAACCGTTGGGCAGATTCTTCCCCTTGAAATTCCCCACTTGAAACGGAAAATAAAAAAGAAAAAAAAAAAAAAAACAGTTCTATGTACATATGCCTATGTCAATTTGAGTGATAACATTTAAGTGGTACTGCCACTAAGTGTTTATTTTATTTTTGTTTCCTTTTTTCTCCGCGAAGTATAACAATTTTAATTAAAGGACGCCGTTCCTTTTTGCAGCCCTGCGGAAGGCAGCATGGTTAAGGCAAGCTCTCCCGAGCATATACTTTTCCTATCCGGAAATAGGCAGCCACAATGGGACGCACTTTCATTTTCTTGTGGGACCCTCCTTTGCAATGAAATTAATTTCAATAGGGTTTTTCATCGAAGGGGTCGAATCTGTGCAGAGGTGTGCCCGTCACGAATGGCGTTTAAGCCACTTTAACAGACCCGCCATGAGGGTTGTCCTCCTTTTCATCTACATATGCCAATGGCACGCTCATTCGGATGACTAAAAAGAAAAGTGATCCTCCCCGGCGTACATATTCTCCGAGCAGCATAATTATCTCCCCACCAAAAAAAGGTAGTTCTCACCTCATCCCAATTTTCATCACGCATATATTTTGGGCACATCACATAATCGAGTAGCAGACATGTTTAGGGGTATAACCCCGCACTTGTCTGCTGGGGTTGGAGGCCCATTTCGTCATTTAGGACAAACACACAGCTAGGTACGTACCCGTCTACAAAGATAATTATCCCTCATGGGATGATGGAAGAACAGAGAAAGGGAAATATGAACCAAGTGGGAGGATCAACAATCCCCCCCTCTCACAACATCCACGTCAACATGTCACATTATGCACTTCCCGCGGAGGTACAATTTTAAAAGAATGATTTCCCTCCTCAGAAGGGTGCGCATTTGAACCGAGCTTACAGCGGCGTTCGATACGTGGCAAAGGGCGTCATTATAAGTGATCACGCCAGTATATTATTCGAAGGGGAACGCACCACTTAGGGATATCGAACCGGTGAGGACGATTGCCTTTTGCCTCGCCGAGGGAATTTCCCTTATTTTGCAATTCGGGGATGTGTTTTGGAGTGGTAAGTAGGGGGCAGCCCCATCACGCAGTTTTCCCGTCCGGCTACTACACACCTGCCGCGTAGCCACAGCGCGGCACTGCTCCTCGAGAGCATTCCCATGGCACACAAATGGGAGAGATGCACTTCTCCCCCCCCCCTATGCGCAAAGAACACACACTGGGAGGTGCAGTAAAGAGGCATGCAACACGTATCGTGAGGTGCACCTAAGTCTTGGCTCTCCCCGTCACGTCCCCACCAATTTCCTCCCCCCGTGGGTAACGTAGTAGGGGGGCTGGTGACCCGGCGAGGATTTCCACCTGAAGCGGATCCACGACCGGCGCATGCGCTTCACTAGAAGCGTCGAAATGGATTCACCGAGTTCGATACAATGGAAAGGCATCACTCGAATGGAATCTCTGGAATGGAATGAATTTTTTTTTTCTTCTTCCCCCCAAAAGATTTTCCCACCGCATGCAAATTTAATCGAGTTCCCATTTAGGGGCAGAGGCTCAAGCACGTTTACTCGCATCGAAGTAGGAAGACAATTTTGAATGCTAAGAAAGAAAAAAAAAAAAAAACAGCCAACTTAGCCCAAGTGGCTTACCCAAAGTAGCATACAATGGGTGCTCAGCGTGACGAATGGAGAGTCAATCATTACTAATAATAGAAGAGTGAAAAAAAAGAAAGAAAAATTCAGTTGAAAAAAGGGCGGAGGAGGACAAATATAAATGTGCTGCTAACCCCTTGAGGAGACGGTACACCCTTCGCAAAGGATCGCCCAAGGGGTGAACCAGCCGTCGAGTTGGAAGGAAGAAGTCCCGAAGGTACCCCAGGTGGAAGGAAGAAATCCGAAAGGTACCCCTTGGGGAATCGCTCTCCGCTCTCAGCCTTCCGCTAATTCCCCTCCACTAACTTCTCTTCCGCGATGGATGGGAAGAAATGCTTCTACATCACGGAGAAGGGAAAGAAGCAAAATTTTAGAAATATCAAGCTCATTACCTTCGACCTGGATCACACCATATGGAACATCGATGGTCTGCTCAACTATGCAGACAAGGAGTGCTACAAATACATGAAGAAAAATTACAAGAGGTTATATGACTACCTTCAGAAAGAGTATCACCTGTCGATGACAGAATTGGTGAAGGAGTTGTTGGAAAATAAAATAGATATGAATAAAGATGGGGTTCAGATTTTAACAAACATTCGAATCGATGCTTTAAAATTTTTAGCCAAACAGACAAACTACGATGAAGTGAAATTCGTATCGGAGATCCAGGAGCTCTGGAAAGAAAAGAAGAACGATGTGCATCTATTTATCAGTCCAGGCACTTTGGAATATTTGAGGGAACTTAAACATAGGGGCTACATCTTAGGAGCCATCACAAATGGAGACTCAGATGTAAATGGGATCAAATTTTTAAATGAGATTTTTACCTTCGTCATTAGGTCAATGGATTATAATTATTCCAAGCCCAGTGTAGAGATTTTTAACATAGCAGAGAATCTTCTGAGAAAGAAGAACCTGCACTTTGAGATCGATCAGTGGATGCATGTAGGGGACGATGTCTACACCGACATCATAGGCGCAAAGAATAAAAATATTAACTGTGCCTGGATTACCATGTTTCGGAATGGTAGCGAGGTTGCCCCGAATGATTGGTATCCCTATTTGAAGTTGAAGCTGGAGAAAAACTGCGACAAAGGCCTATCTCAGTATGACCCCTTTTCGGACGGTCTGTTTTCCCGCTTTCGCAGGAGGGATGTCGTCCTTCCATATGAATATATTGACATTGAGATTCGTCACTGCCGGGACTTGGACGCCATCCTGGCATAGCATCACTTCTGTGATGGGGGCGTGGAAAGGGATAGTACCGTCAGTATAGCTCGTCACGCTGACCTTTCCGATCGCCACCCTCACTTCACTTCCTGCGGAGTAAGACTTCCCGACCCAGTCATCCTTTGTTACCCCTTTTTTAAACCACCCAGTTGTAACCCCTCTCTGACGCCATTTGTTCTAACACCTTCCGGCACTACGTGCGATTTTTTTTTTTTTTCCAACACCCCGAGAAGGAGCCTTTGTGTTGTTTCTCCCCCTAAATGGGGCACCTGTCCATCCGCTTTGAAAAAAAAAAAAAATAATTCTCCTTTAATTTTGTTCACAAAAATGTTCGGGGCGGGATTGGTTCGGTCCAATCGGACGTGGTGTTACATATGTGTTGTGGTGTAGAAGCGTCTGTTAGGGGGGAACGCCACCCCCACACCGAGAGAGCTCCCCCAATTGGGTTTGCTCCATTAGCAGGGGAGCCTTAAAAAAGTGCGGTTGAAGTGCCGTCGGAGAGAATGAGGGGGGAATGTTCCCCGCGGAGTCCACTGTTAAAACGTGCAGACGTATGGTTGCGGTTTTGCCTCCTGTGCAGGGGCAGCACATTGGGGGAATGCCCTCCCTAGTGCGACGTTTGGAGTTTCCCCCTCTGGGGGGGACGGGCAGATAGTGTACATTCACTGGAACAGGCAGTGGCACATTTGCTGGCTTACCTAGCGGTACATTCACTGGCACGGTGTCACACTCAATGGTTTACTGAATGGCACATTTGCTGCCATGAGGATACTACCCCTCGGAGTACCCAGGGTAGCTGTCGTCCTCGGACAACACGGAGCAGGTGGAGTAGGCCGACGAAGCGGAGTAGTCGTCACTCCCAACGGGGCTACTGCTATCATCGTCCTCTTTGTCATCATCGTCGTCATGGTCATTCTCGTCATCCGCGTCATCCTTGTCATCCTGTTCCTCGTCCACGTTGGCCAAGCCCGTCTGCTTCGCCGCTGTCCCGCCAAGCGCCGCGGCCATGTCGTAGTCCTTCAAAAAGTGGAAAAGCTGCGCGACACTGACGGAGCATATGGGGCCTACCTTGACGTCCTTCCTAAGGCTGTCAAGGATCTCCTCCATCCTATCGGAGCAACAAACGATGCAGAGAGTCGAACCGATCAGCGCATTAGTCTTATCAATTCGGAAGTTCACGATTCGAGACAGATATTTGTGGCAAATGATCTGCAGATCCTTCGTCGTCATGTTTTCAATCTTCCTCAACAACTTGTCGTAAAAACTTAAGGGCAAATTTTTTATACTCAGAAAAATGGTCTGCGAGGCTCTATCCGATACGGTTTCTTGATTATTGAAGATGGTGTAATAAGCACTGCTCTTCGCAATAGAGATTTCTTCCTCCTTCATTTCGCTCTTGCAGTAGTAATCGAAAATGTGTAATGCTTCCTTCAGGGCGCTAATAATATCACTTGATCTATAAATGCGCAAGCTTAGCTCTCCATGGATGGAGTTAAAATCTAATGCACATTCATAAGCGAATCCTCCTCCGCGGATGCTATTGTAGAGGGGCCCTTCCGTCATGCAGAAGAATTCACGCAGGAGCAACAGGGCACAGTAATCTTCGTGCTCATATCCTGCAGGCACCTTAACAGTCAGCTTCAGATACGAAACGTCTGTACTCTTTAACCCACACAGGACTCCATTATAGGCTTTGTCTTTCACCAAATTGAGTTTGAAATTTTTGTCCTCCTTCTCCAATTCGGCGCTCAGGTACTCTTTCAAGCTTTTGTGCACACGGGGGCCTAGGCATATATACTTATCTGCACTCTTCTGCTTCATCGCTTCACACGTTTGGATTTTTTTTTCTCCATCCTGGGAGGCACTTCCCTGCGTTTCTCCTTTCGACTCGGCGCCGCTGCAGATGGGCATGTCGAAATAGGAGGCAGGCTTCTTCTCCCCCGAGGCAGCCTTATCGAGGTTGACGGCTTTCCCAGGGTTGGCCGCGCTCGCCTGGTCGAAGGTAAATTCCGTGTATGGCGCATTCACGGTGTAGTCCTTTTTGTGCAGTCCTGATGGGGTGTCGCTTTTCTCCCCCGTGGAGGGAATCCTAAACCAGCGGTCGTACCACGAAAAGACATTCCTAATTTTGCAAAAATTCGCATCAATGGCGATGACGAAGTTGTTTAGGTCGAAAAGCTGCTCCTTCAATGTGTTAAGCTTATCGTAGAGCTCCGTCAAGTTGCTTTTATCCTCAATTAGCTCAAGAATCATTTCTTGTTGCCCAATGGAAACAATTCCAGAGGTGCTACCCTTCATGTAGCGAAGAGCATATTCCATATTAACTACCAGAGTCTTCGGTTTGGTTTTTTTTTGCAACAGATTTTGGTAGGCTGACTTGAGGATGATTTCCATTCTCTCTATGGTTAGGTTCATTTTAAAGATGGACAAAAAGAGTAGATCAAATAACTTCTCGTAGTGCTCATACAGACCTACAATTTGTATGCAGAGTATATTTCCTAAGCTGCCTGCTCTGAAATTTTTGGCATTTCCTCCCAAGCCATAATTACAGCAGTAGTTTATTGTATGTCTGATCAGCTCCTCTGTGAATAACTCACACTTGACATTGGTATTGTTCACCTCCACGTCTGTCTCGAAGAGGAGGTAACTCAACAGGGGAATATACTTCTTTAACTCCTCGTCCACGTTGCTCGAGTTTATTAGCACATTTATCGATACGAAGTTGGATGGGATGTGGCTCAGCTGGATTGGAAAAATCACTCTCTTGAGGTCCCCTTCGAGGGAGCTCAACAGGTGAGCGTTTTCACGGGACACATCCTCGGGAGTGTCCGTTTGATTGGTCAACCCTTCTAGTGAGGTATCTGTTGTCCCCTCCCCCTTTTGTAACAGCTCGAAGTTTCGGAACACCGTGAGACCCTCGATTAGCACGTTTTGCGGCTTGGCAGACTCCACTACGTTGAGGGAGCTCTTCGGAGGCTTCTTCTCGAAGTTCTCCTTAATTTTCCTAATGTGCTTAACCATTTCCTGCAGCTTCTCCATCCCGTATCTATTCTGTTCAATATCGATTAGGTTTCTCTCGAATTGTTCAATCTGCCTTGCCTTTTTGTAGCTGGGGTAGCACCTGACCTCCACGTAGTCGTTCTGCACGAAGTACTTCTTTAGCACCTCCTTCCAGTATTCCTCCTCTTTCCCCAAGAGATCGACGTAGGCCTTTTTCAAATTCAGGCAATTGCTAAGGTCCTCCTTCTGCTTCCCATAGATAAAGTATTTTATGATAAATTCGTTTAGGAGGTACTGTGGGGCTGCCTCCAGATCTTTCAGATGCTGCAGGTACGACCGAACAATGATATTCTTCAGTCTGTCCATGTTGAGCGGCTCTTCCAGGACCTGTTGCAGGCACTTGCGCGTTATTTCGCCTACCTCGTCCATCTTGGGGTGGTACACCCGGGGCGATTTGGAACGCGACATCCCTTGCGATTGATCCGTTTGAGGGTTCTCCATTTGTGGCTCCTCCGTCTGGAGTTCCCCCTTTTTTGGGTTCCGCTCCGCCCCGCTGGCTACCCTAAACTTGTACACAACGTCGTAAATGTCGATGGTGAAGTAGTTGCCTTTCAAATCCTCCAGCGCGAAGTCCAGATTGCTGCAGTAGGTGTTCTCCTTATCTTCCAGCAGCCGCTTGCTGACAGGGGAGGTGGTCAAATCGGTGAGGTAGTTGCCCAACAGGGATATTGCCAGCTTGGTGTGGAAGTCGGACCAGTCACAACCCCTCCACGCGATGCACACCTGCCCGTTGTTCAGATTATTACACGGGTAATACTTTTTTATAATTCTAGAGTCGGTCCTCCTTTCGACGTTGCACTCTTCGCTCCAGGGTCTCTTGGGGCTTTGCATGTGGCTAATGAAGAGTTGCTCCGCGGATGGGGCGTCCGCGACGGCAGCTGTCTCTGTAGTTACCGCGTCTGTCTTTACCCCGTCTGTCTTTACCGCGCCCACCTTTACTGCTGTTGCCGCCGCTGTCGCCTCTCCGTGCGCCCCGCCTAAGACCTGCGCCGGGTTCAACTCCAAGTGGTACTGCTCGAACCCGTGTATGATGTCCAAAATATCGTCGTTGTTAAAGTTGCCGAAAATGATAATGGCGAAGTTGTCCAACGTATAAAATTTTTTGAAATACTCCCTCACACGATCATTATTGGTTTTTCTCAAGCCATCCAGAGTCCCGCCTGTCTCGAACCTATAGCCACTCTTCTCATTTGGATAAAGATTCGTAATGACTGTCCTCTCGATTATATTTTCACAGCTATTCTCTATTGACTTCATTTCTGAGTAGACCACTCCGTTATGCGTTCCATTTTCAAATATGTGGTGCACTTCGAACAGAAACATATCATCGGCTAGGGTTGGGTTTAGGATGAAATCTAGATAAATGGGTAGGATGTTGCTAAATCCTTCGATGCCGAATGTCTCTATTGTGTAGCAGGTGTGATCGATTGAGGTCCAGGCATTCGTTCCTTCGGACAGACATTTGTATGCTAATGAGTCCAGCAGTCCTTTGTATGGGTATTTGTGGCTTCCCAGAAATATGAGGTGCTCCAGGGTGTGCGGCAACCCCTCGTCATTTTCGGCCTCCGTCAGTAGGGTGAAGTATCCATATATTTTGGGGCTCTTAATTTTGCTCAGGATTATTCTCAACCCGGACTTCACCGAGTAATACTCGTCAACCGTGAGCTCTTGCTCAAGGTCTATGTGGTTTACTCTCGCGTAGTTGTGCATCTTGTGTGGGTGGTGCTAACGTATTTGTGTGTAAGTGCATGCGCTTGTGCGCGGCTGTTTTGTATGACCTGTGTGCTCAGACGACCTTTCTAATCTGTTCACCTAAAATGTGCTGCCGCGACGCTTTACTCTGCTGTAGAGATGCCTTTCCTTCGTTCGGCCGGTGGGCTCAGTGCGTCCGCTCCGCAATTCGCACTTTGGCAGTGTAGAAATATCCAGGAATGGGCAAGTCCTTTCATATAATGGCTTACACCAACGAAATGCACTTCGTCGTGTGAAGAGCACGTATGCTCGTATGTCCCTGTTCGCGCAAGGGCGGTAGTCACTAAACCGGCGTTGTGATGTGCCTGTGGGGTGTTGCGCCCCCGTTAAGATCCGCCCGTACGCTCCCCCCTTGGAACATCGCTACACCTCACGTAGGCGATGCGCAACGGTCACGCGATGCCAGTTTTACCCGATTATAAACTGCGACAAAGAGCTAAATCGACATTCGCCGTAGTGATTCGGAAAGATCTTTTTCATTAATGGAATGTCTCGTGAATACAATGAGAATGCTGAACAAGTATATTTTTTCTTTTCTTTTTTTTTTTTTT